AGAGTTCCACGATCTCATACCTTCGCCAAATGATGTTAGCCTTTATGAATAAGAAATATACTAATCACCCTGATTATGCAAATAGGATCCTCAATTGCATGAATTATATCAGTCTGTTGATCATATTCTCCACCAAAAGACAGTCTTATCTTAACAAAGAATGCCATTTTCTCATAAATTATGCAAATGTGGTCCTTATTTGAATAAGTTATGTTTAATTATGTTCACCTTCACTTAACTTTAAAACACCCCAAGTATGAAATTCCAGGCAGTTACCACTATGCAATTATAACATTTTCTCATTAATTATGCAAATTAAGTCTTCATTTGCATAATCGATATTTGCCTGTGTTTCTCTCGTTCTTAATAACATATGTTACAAGCTTGAACTTCCTATCATGGAATGCAGCTGATGTATAGAATTTCCTCATTAATTATGCAAATTACATCAATATTTGCATAATTGTAATATCATTATGTCAAGCATCACTTAAGCTACCTACATACCAAAAATCACGATGATCCATCAATCGGTTCCTGAGTTATCCTCTTTTAAACATTTGTCCTTTAAACCCCCCTGCAGTTCTAGAGCAAGCAACTAGGGGGCTCATGCTCATGTCACTTCATCCCCAGCACAAGAGCTATCTACCATCTAAATTTCGTCACCCTAACATGTCTGGATCATGAGATATCAAAACCGGAAGTTCTGCTGCAGTACCATGACAAGCCGCCAGGTGGCCCAAAATCTAATCATTTTGAGGTCTCATCAAGACCTACCCACCTACCAAATATCAAGTCAGTCCATTTAAGCCTTCTCAAGTTATCGTGTTGACAGACAGACACACACACACACACATACACGAACGCCTCTGAAAACATAACCTTCTTGGCGAAGGTAATAAAAAGAGTAGGGATGCAATGAAAAAGGACGATGGGAGAGACGACGTACACTCTATCCTTGCCTGCTACAACTGTCCTTTTACACACTGGCCTTAAGCTTACTTCTTTATTCAGATACAATCGGTTACAGATGTGGTGGATATGACAACTTCTTGTTGCTGTCTAAAACGAAATGCAACGCAGATTACGTTTAAGAATACAAAAGTTGTTTCTTGATGCGATATCTTATAATTGGAATAATTCTCTACCCTACACGCCCACGGCTGTTAATACATACCGCCATAACCGCCCACACGCCAGGGGATTTCTTTGCCTCCCCCACTTCTTTCATCTCTCATCCGATGACATTTCAAACTTTCTCGACGAAGTGAAGTTGCGTTGATAGGTTTCTATGAATTCCTTTCTTTGTATCTATTTTCAGCATCGATGTCAACATGCCTCTATTATCATGTTCGTATCTAATTTATTTTCCAGTTTTAAGATGATATGTTGAGCACTCGCAACAACAAAACATCAATTGGTAATTATCTGCACTCACACTCAACGCTTATCAGAAATAACAATGAGGCGAGGTGGGCTGAAAATTCAGATGAACTCGAGTAGGTGAGCTCCCACTACCCCGCTACGCTACATGTGATGACAATAGACAGATGACCTCTGGGTCAAGTGAGGTCAGGGGTCGTATTCCGTGCATCTAATTAATTTCTTTGATCTGTCGCCCAAATAACTACTATTATGTAATAAGGTTCTGTATGTCCTTGTCTTATGATGTGGGTTTTAAGTATGGAACAAACTAAATCAAACACTTTTCTTCGTCTTATGAGGTAAAATTTCAAAATCTTTCAATGTTTGAATATTCCAGTAGTAAGAATTCTGTAAACGTAATCCGTTGTAATAGAACCATACACTTCTGGATGTTCTAGCAGTAAGTGCAATAAGCCGTACAGTGCTATTCACCAACGTTACAGATGTCTAGTTGTCACCTTGGAAATGTTTCTTGTGACTTTGCTATCCTTGGCTTCATGCATCAGATGCAGTGAAGCGAATTTTCTTCAAATTTCTAAATTCCTCTTAGATTGTTTTTCAAGCAGATCTTTTGGTGGTTGCAAGGCAGTATCAAATTGACAAGGCAGTATCATTGACAGTTTGGCAAAAAAAAAGATACCAGTACAAAAAGGGAGCCCCATGACACGTCAATAAGAAGCCGAAGCCTAAACCTTTTCTTGAAGAGTATGATTCCATGCTTACATGATAAGTACGTGGGAAGCCAACGCCATATATATATATATGCACGAGCCACGGGGCTATATACCAGCTATGTGTGGGTGCGAGCCTGTGTGATTGCACACGTAGGCTCGATCCTGCGAATCGAAGTCTTTGGAGACCACGAGCAGGGTGTAATGCACACATCTGATTGTCAATTATACCGCTCTTTTCTCCCCTTGAACCGCCTTATTGGCAGTTACGACCGACGGTAATACATCATCCACTCAGCAACATAGGCTAGGGACCTTCGGTAAAACCGAAAGGATTACTTCGACGTTACCTCGTTGGGTGAGCAGGTTTTAATCCGCTACGTCGCTATCTAGGAGTAATTAATTCCACTCGGCGAGAATTGATTTTGCGTTCTGATGCGGCAGCCAGAAATGCAGGCAATTGATTATAAGCGAGAAAATTAAACTGCTCAAATTAAGAAATGTGGGGAGAATTCCGCAGAGCTAGTTATGATTAGTGTTGAAGTGTGCCGTCTTGTGCTGTAACATTCACGCGTATGGGGCTTGTCCTTGAATTTTATTAGACGGTATTTGCTCCTATTTGTCTATTCGACGTCCTGATTTTCTCTAATATTGTGTCGCAAGTCAACTGAAGCAAGTAGCCACGATATGGCGTATGCTTGAACCATTTCGTGAGAGAAGCAGTCTACAAACGAATTGTTTCTCACGTTTCCACACACAGGTGGGGTAAGAAATGTCAGGTTCACGTCCGCCATGACACTTCGACACCAAAGGTCACGGAGGTCATGTACCCCTGAAACCCTACCGCGAATGAGATCGTTTGCACTCGTAAATGGAATGAGTTGTAGAATGCCTTACTAGCTTATCAAAGTATGAGTTAGAGTTCAATGATTCTATGCGTTTCGTCCACTACGTATTTGTTCAGTTCAGTCTTTTGTGTGCCTTTAGTAAAAATGCAATAATTGTGAATTCTTGCTTAAATCCACTGCAGCTTGAACCAAAAATCACCTAGATTTTGAAAACATCCATCCTAATGTTAACTTTATCAAATTATCAATATTCATTATCACAAAAACCATGGCAATGTCAAAAGGATGATGGTCGGCCTATTTGTTGAGCTATTTTGTTCTGACATCATAAGGACACGGCATTTACGGTAACCTTAACATAACGGATGTACCAGCCTTTCCGTAGCCATCGACAGATGTACCAAACCACGACTCGTGACAAACTCGGCCCGCTGATAGATCCTCACATTTCCATGCTGGAAAAGTTAATGCAATTCGTCCACTTAAATCCCCATTTTATGGCCATCATTCGCTCAACAGACGCTGGCAAAATGACAATTTCCTGCGGGAGTTTACGGCCAGATAACACTGGTCCAATCGATCCTGGCCAATTCTATCTTCATAAAGCGAGGTGGTGACTATAGGAGAACTGTTACACAGGGGACCGGGGATTCGACAGGAGACTCAGGCGGGGACCGGGAGTATGGGAACCCCGTTAGTCATGCGTTTCGCGTCGGAGACGTATAGTTGCCGATATTGACAGAGACTGTGGCGCTAAGGCCCTGTCGATTCTAACTCTGACGAATTGGAAACCCAATGTGACAAAATGAAGGGGCTACTTAGTTTTAATCTCTGTGTGTGTGAGTAAATTTTCCTGTTACACGATGAAGAATAAGAAATTTCACTAGCCTCTTCTTAGCAATATAAATGGATTGAAAAAAATGACAGGACGTTGAAACATTACGGGTATGCAGGGAGAATCAGATGCCTAGGAAAGCATTAGCCATAAATATATTATATCATATCTTAACGATAACGTTACAATAAGGAGGATATATTAAAGTTCAAACACTTATGAGGAATAGGTCGAAGAAAATCTGATTATATTTTTACCATCACTGGAATATTGCGGGTTTTATGTGTTGGCTCAATTTTTCCAAAACTAATCATGGCTTTTTATATGCTCGTTAAAGTTGACTATATGTAGCCCTGTATTTGACATTTATTAATAATGTTGGCTCGGAGATGTAGACTTTAATTGCAGGCTTTTAATTACCCGAATCATCACTTCATATCGCTAGTAGGACATGGTTTTAAACATGGTTATCACCAAGATATGGTTATTACACATCTAATCTGAGATTTTACACATCAATTGTGTTCAGTGCTTCACTGAAAGTGTGCAGAAGTCAATACGATAAAGAAATCTTGAATCGTGCTGTACATCTTTAGTGTGTATCTCTTAAAGTATGAGTTAGCCTTATAGCAGTACGTGATATGAGTTAACCTTTTCATTGATTTAGAATATGTTATCAAGGTTCAATGTTACCAAAGGTTACCGTCCTCATAATTCAAGTCTAATGAGTTAATATAACTCATAGCTATATGAAAGTCAGATTCGAAAGTTTGAAAATCTTTTGTTGACATGTTCTGCAGGGTCAAACGTTTGTGTGGCGACGATCTATAGCTAAGGGAAAATGGCGACCTTTGCTACTGAAATCTCGCGAGATTTCAACGGTGCTTCTCGAGAAAAGCCAAATATGGAACGTCTTCATGACTACGAATCCTCACTTTCAGGACAATATTTAAACTAGACTGGTTTATAGTAAGTTATTACAAATACTGTATGGAAACACCAACCAGTTGTGAATCACCGTTATTCTGCACACTGTAGTTAGTTCCAATCACTCTTATGGCGTTTTGAAATGTAACGACATTGGTTACGACTCTATATCCTATTAGGAGCAAACGTAAAGCTAACCACTTAACCAATACGCGTGCATTTCTATCGCTGACGATTGCCTCTGTGGTACTTCAACCATTTAGGCCAGCAACTGGATTTGATTACTATCTACACCGTAACGCTGGCGTTGATGCTTTATGAATTGAAGCAATATGGTGAGCTAAAGTCTGTGTCATTACATGCTAAATGTAAACAGAACTATTATTTCCAATGTGCTAGCGGGTTTTCATAGCAGTGATATACCATGCCCCAAGGACAGACATCACTTAAGCTCCTGTTCGATTCTGCAACAACAGGAGCTTTTTGACTAATTTGCATCATCTTGTCTTGACTTGTCAAACCTTAGTTTCCTTTTGGACTTCCAAAAATTGTCTTCAATTATCACATATCCATCAATAGTTCGTGCTTATAAACCTGCATTTCTCCTCTGGTCTCTTAGTGTCACTGACGAAAGGTAGTGGATGCTACCTGAAACGTCTGACGGTTTCCAAAATCATATCCAGTTGCTTGGCTAACTGCTTTTTGGTGCATGATTGTTTAGTTCACAGGCGATGAAAAAGCTAATAAAATTTGTGGATGCCACACATGGTAAATCAGTGGCTACTCTAAGTAGTAGCGAATTCGACAGACCATGCCGCCAAGAAATATCAGAAGTGTTTTCCAATGAGATGATTATCATAAACTATCACTTCCAGAAAACGTGTCCTGGGTACAGAAGTCAATGGGATTGTGGAAATTGTTTGATTCTTATTTTCGACTGCCATCGATTGAAGTAATAGGATACGCCCGGGAAGAACTGGAATGCATCCAAAAGTCCATCCGTCATCTGATTAAACGGAGCACTGGCATCGATCGGGGAAAAACAATAGTAATCAAACAGAGCAGACCCCGATAGCACGACCTCTGCACTATAGCTTGGGCAGCCGCCATGTTTGTTTTGACCCACCACAACAAACAAGTTAGAACTGGAATGTTCCTCACGTGACTTCCGACCAATCACCGCATCATATACAGTCTATGTTCTGCAATCTCTGACACAGTCTGTGACAAGTGGATCTCCGGTAGCTGCTTGACTGGTGAGATATGTACGAATACATGGGAAAGACGTAACACTGCCAGAAGATAAGCTATTAATGGACTTGAACACTCCGATGTAACGATTTTCGCATCAGTAAGCTCCGAGGGCCTGTCATTTTCTAACTTGATAACGGAGCGGCTCAAGATCTCTAAGTGGTGGAGCACGTTAGCTGTCAGTTCCTATTTCATTTTGACCGAAGCTATAACTTATACGTGCCCTCTATTGGGCCTCATATTTCGTAGAATAGGATTTTTATGAGCCCAAAACTCGTTACGGAAGACGCATAAGAAAAGCGAGAAAAGCCCCCAGTCACTCGGAGCGCAGCCGTCTCCCAAGCCGGTATAGACTGACGGCAAACGGATACGCATATTGACATCCCGCAGGTCTGAGGTAATGAATGATTGCTATATTCTGTATTCGCTGGGAAATTAACCTACGGGCTCGATATTACCGAGTCAGAATGAAAGGGCTCCGCTGACTGGTCCGGACGTTTGAAGGTGACGGTCGTGGATACTGTGACAGACCCGGAGTCTCCTCTCCTGGTGTTCTCACCTCAATCACTGCCTGTCAATCACCCAGAACGTCCTTCAACGCAACCAACGCCGCCTGGGCATGGGATAAGCTCCCGAAGACTGCGCTAACATCTCTCCGGTAAGTATATATCATATCGAGAACGACAGACAAAGATGGAAGCTTGGGTGGATTTCCCGCCTATTGTACATCCTGGCGTCGTCTGTCATGCGTTTTCACCTGCCAGAACCCCAACCCTCCACCGTCCGTTTGCCGAGGTCTCCCGGGGTTAGACATGTCAGTCCCGGCTTTACACCTACTCTATCCCCGGCGTTTACTCTTTAATCACACCGCCACAGACCAGCCATTTTTGCAGATACCAGTGTCTAGACATTAGCTATTTATACAGCCCTTAGGGATCCGGTGCGTAGGTATTCTTTCGTGGCGTAAAAAAAGTTGTTATCATATTAATGGCGGTACATTTTCTGGGTATCGATCGAGTTGTTGTATCTCGGATGTTGACAGCCCCGCGCGTGAATCAAACCCGGTGATATTAATGATATCTGACGAGAAGTTAGCTCTGTAGAGTGCAGCTTTGTTGTGTGAAATTCCCATAACATTTTCCCTTGCTAACAACGGTGTGTTTTCAGTAAAATGATCCCGCCGGATTGAGTAGGTTTTGATGAGTAGGATTATAACGCATTTTTTCTTTCGCCCGAACGTTCCCGGGTGTAAATAGAGGAAATCTGCAGGGAACTACAAGTTCTCTCAGATGGGTGTTTGATTGGACGAAGGTAGCGCTGCTCAGACGCGAGTCCATTTCAGTCTTATTGGGTAGATAGAGTGTACGTGACCCGACTGCTGCCGACAGACGGATCGGTACTCATGTTCTCGTGCCCCTTTTCTCGGATTAACATGTGTTTCTCATCAACACGCTCACATTGAAGACAACTTCTCTTCGTAGATCCACCATCTTTGAGTCGTCGACATCTGATCTTGTCTACCGACATGGGAATCCGAGACATCCCCGTTCACTGACCTTCATAATCTCTATAAATTATTCACGGAAAAAAATTATTGGAAACATCGGCAAACATCACACATCATCAAATGGCGTGGCTGTGTGCGAGGATGTTTGATGAGATGTATTTATTGAGAGTACGACGTCACTCGGCGCCGCGCATATTCTGTAGAATATCCCTACTTTCGGTTATGGTGGAATTACGGTTGGCAGTAAAAAAAGAAGCATACATAAGTATGAGATATTCTTGATGTCAGAAAGGTTGGGAACATTCTCACAGCCAGACTTCTCAGAGATAGGTCCGTAGAGGCAGAGCACTGGGCCGTGGCAGGAGGGATAGTATCAATTTGTCAGAAGACCTGCACGTGTGTGCCTACGTTTTCCTATTTGTTTTAAGTGCAGGGCCAGCAGACAGACAACTGTTCGACCAGGCACGTCGTCATGATGGCGGCCTTCTGTACAGCGCTGATCCTCACAGCGGTCCACTACACCACAGGTAAGGCTTACGGTTCAACCATTCTTTTTAAAAGCCTTCAAAGCGATTAATTTCAGGGCAGCAAAATTGGAACTGAATAAGGCAATCTTTGTGACACTGACACATACTGCTATACATTAGCAGCATTTTGTACTCAGCATTTTGAACTGCGGGCATTTAAAACTGCAGAAACAAGCCCCAAGACGAGTCCTTTATTTTCTGGCTGGTACCCTAAAATCAGTCCAGGGACCTTCCAGTTACCATTTTCCGTCAGAATGTTTGGACTCTTTGCTCCGTGAGGGTACATTAGGATAGTGTGGTTTCAACTAGATAAATGACTAGAATATTGGCTTTGAAAAATCGGGTTTCCAAGACCTAAAAACTGCATTGGATGCCTTTAAGTATGAACTAAACAACATGTACGCTGTTTTTGGAGAAAACTCTCACGACCGTGGTAAACTATAACCGCACCACTGGCAAATTCAGGAGCATTCACTGGGGAACCACATTGCATGGGATATATATTGTTATGGCTGTGAGGGAAATATACTACTCCTAGAAAGCTCATTCTATTGAAGGAAAATGGCATGTTATATGATACCATATGATACGCGCTTAGTCTAATGGAACCGCGTGTTCTAACTAAACCTTGGGTATTTGTGGCCATTGCTGTACATGTAGTTGTTTTAGAATATCTTTGCAGTTTGAATTTTTATGCCTATTGAAACGGTGCAAGTTAAAATGGTGGACTTCAATACCTAGATTAGATAGAATGTATTCGCTAATAATTCCGAAGACTTTTACGTTATTCTGTTATCCTTGTATCCTATGTACTATGTTACTCAGTATGATATGCATTTAACATCATACTCCAATGTATGCATTTTAGCCCCATGGGCATTAAGAAGCAAATAAAGATTCTGCATTTTACAATAGGAAAGTCCATCTAAAGTATGCAAACGTTTCTTTGATCCATTTTACGTGCAGTGGATGGGATATACCCGCTCCCCTGGTATACTAGAAATCGATCAATCGGAAACGTTTGGATGTCGATAAATAACGACTGGCGTTCAGCCACTGCCGTTACGCAAGTGTGAAAAACGCCCCACATAAGCCACGTAAGGGGTCACCGTTCTCCATCAATTCAGTATCATACCCGGCTCGATTTCCCCACAGATTAGCGTGTGTTTCGATTGTCCATAATGTCATCATGCGTTTAGGCTGATTTGGTCCTGTTCGGTTGCTAGCAATGCAGAGAACTGCAAACAGAACAAAAAGGGCTACATATTTGTACTGGTGAATAGAATATACAGTCTGTTCTAATGTCGGTGAAGGTTAGACACCCAGGTAATGAGGATACGCCAAAAAAACAGTTACTCAATCAAAGTATGATTTTGGAAACGGCCAGACGTTTCAGGTACCATCCGCTACCTTTCGTCAGTGACACTGGAGACTACAGGAGAATTGCAGAATTATAAGCACAATCTGTTCTAACTCTTACTGTTTGATGGTGGATAGTAAAACTTACGGTCGTGTTATATACATAATCTAATACAATAATCTAACATAATATCATCTATGATGTTTGTAGCAATTGAAGTTGTGTCTTCTGGGTGACCGGTAGCCCCGCCCACCTTGGGCAAAAGGTACAAGATTAATGAATTGCCAAAACGTAGGGCATTGACCCACATGTCGCTACTTATTACATGTTGACCTTTGCTATAGGAAATGTACACTGACATAAAATACCTTCTTCACTTTGTTAGACCTGCTGACAATTATAGCTTTATATTCTTCACTAGAAAATCATACTGTAAAACAAACCGATCGGATACCGTGCGGAAGAAAATATGAGATACTTCTTTAAACATGTTCTTAATATCGAACAAAAACAAACAGGAAAATATGTATGGCAAATTAGACAAATATACATCATAACCAAAAGGCAAAAAGGAATAGCTTATACATTAGAATATATACTAAACCCTTATCAAATTAATGCCAATAATAAACAGTTAATCAAAATAAGGCTTCGAAATCTGAATCAAAGAAGAATGTGGCAAAATCAAGCAACAAAACAGCCAAAGTAATAAGAAGGTCCCTGAGTTACAAGAAGGTGCCTGACTTACTTTTTACTGAAAATATATTGTATCTTATAGGTCCGGGTACCATTGTGGGCTATAGTTGGGCGTTGTCTCAGTATACAGAAAAGGTTCCATGTCGCCATTGACCCTGAACACTCTAGCCGCCCAGGTGATGTTGTGCGTATATATATGTCTTCCCGGGCTAAGTTTTGGCGGTTGCGTGCCGCCGCTGGGGGTTACGATTGATCGAGGCTCTAGGTTTTTAGCGAACGACCCCATATCGATCGGGAAAACCAATTCGTCACCCAAACCCGTTCCGTAGTTCTTGCCGCTACACCGGGAATTGGGAGGTAGAAATTCATTCCGGTTGAAAGGGGTACACCGGACGGTAAAAAGAAAAGCTTCACAAGATAAGGCCGGCTTGCTCAGCGAAACGTGTAGCAGCGAATCATTCACCAGGGGAGCAAAGCTGCTACACTAAAAGGACAAAATCCGCATTTCAAGTTAATTTCCGACATTTCAATACCCCTTTAAACATCACTGCATGTGGACATCCCGCTCGAGTCCGCTAAGAACCAGTGACTGGCGTTAACTATCGCGCCGCGTTTGATAATAAGTTCTCTCTGGTCTTTCATTTACTACTTGGCTGCGTTCGCTGGCGCTTGCAGCAATCGTAACTAATTACCTGTATGGTCTGCTTCTCTTACTGTACTGCGGGCTGGAAAAATATGAAGTACCGTGTGTCTGTGTTTGCAGACTCCCATAGGGGAAGGGATAGAGCGGTCCCTGCATAAGCTTAGCCTGGTATCCAGTCTATTGTGGTTGGGGCAGGCTGTCTTCGGAGCTCTAATAGTTTTTCCCCGTCCAGCTCAATAGACCACCCGGTAGTCCTCCTGAGTGTTACGTCTGTAGAGTTTTGCACGCCAGGAGTTGATTGGCCCGTAATTTAACTCCCGTCGTGCAAAACCTACCGGAAAACCTAGCTGAGTCGGGCGGGGAAGAGCTCCTGCAGCCCCGAAGAAAACCTGCCCCAACCACGATAGACTGGGCACCAGGCGAGTATATTAAAGCTATGGGTAGTAGTAAGCCTGCTCTACGCTGGCCCTGAATGTTACATGTTATTCGTCCTGTCGTACGAGTGAGCCGGTCAAAGATGGATGGAAGTCATTATTGTAGTAATTGGCATCTCGTCTCGGGGCAAGGCTTGCGGGGAGGCTGGAGGACGGGAAAATGAGAATTGCTCGTGACCGTCCGAGGTCGTAACAGCCCCGCATATTGGCGACATGGAAGTATTACTTATGATCTTGTTCTGTCTTGCGGAGAGACCTCGGATAGCGCTCCGCAGGTGGAATTACATATACTAGAGCCTTGTGAGAAATATGGCTGGCCTGGAGCCATCATGTTTATCGAGGTGTTCTGAGTCTTATGGATATTATTTTTCATACAGGCTTGGGAAAGCTAGTTAAATCTTAACGTATGTACAGTATCAGATAGACTATAGTATAGTTATGTATGTCAAAACCTGTCGTGCATAGGGCGGCGCTCATCTCTGTTTCTGTAGCACTTGGGCCACAAAACTGTATAAGCATATGTACTACATACAGTACGAGGCTATTCCACTGGTAGTGGCGTGTCTGAAACAAATATATAACCAACATCTTCCTTCTCATTGGTGAAGAATCAAGTGAAGAATAAACTTGACCAACAGCCATGACAAGGACCATTTATCAACAAGATTCTCAACGGCCAGTCGGAACATATCTATGGTTAACCGATTAAAAGAAAGGCAATTTATTGCAAACTCCTATCACGCACCTTCACAGAGACATTAATCCTATGTAATGTTGTAACCTTTCGAAGCTTGAGCCGCCGCTTAATTAACAGTGCCGATCGAGTGCAGACACCGCGGAGTTTTAATCAAGGGATATCATGGCAAGATTAACAGTCACTGTGGTGCTGACAACCTGCCTATATGCATACATACATACATACAGGCAGAGTGAAAGTAAATGTATCTAATTTTTATAACAGCAAGTTAGATAAACTATAAACGTAACATTTGCAAAGCAAATGCATAATGTTTACCTTCACAAAAAGTCTGCTCTGTTGATTCTTACTCAAACACGAATGTATTATATGATGACATGAGACTAAATCCCTCCTGCTATAAAACTGCAACATGATGTAAGCCAACACTAGTTATCATGGTGACAGACGCCTGGTCCTGGACCTTATTTGTTTGGAGAAGAAGAAGAAGAAGAGGAAGAAGAAACTGAGCAAAAACAATATGTTTTTCTTCGGTAAACATAATTAAGAAGATGATGCCGCCTTGCAAATTGCTTAGATAGGATATGCTTGCAGCGAAATATGAAACGTTAACCCCCATAAAATGTCAGCAGTTTGATACTAGTAGTAATTATGTAACCCGAACAAACCATGGGTGGGGAGGGGGGTGGTACTAGTATTAGGGCTGACGTCACTATTGCCTTGCGCAGTGAGTGTACAAAAAATTATTGTAGCTTCTAGTTACTATCCTTGAAAATCCTTTTTTTCTCTTGATAATTTTGGTCCTGTTTGGAGACTTTTGGGCTAGAAGTGACAGACAGGGTCTAATCCTTTCTACTTTGGTCAGGTTTTGTTTATTTCACCAGTTTTTACTTTAGTGGCGTAATGAGAGACCTGAGTGTTGATTTCTTGTCCGTCCAGGGAGGATGGATATGATGAGGAAATCAGGCCTCTACTGGGCAGGGTTTTCACGGGCTAACAGTTAGAAAACTAGTTACTATCGATGCCAGTTTTTAAAATACTGTTCACTGTATCGTTACTGTGAATGGCTTGACTTTCTCTTAACCAGGAGTAACAGTGTCGCCAGGCTCATACACCACGGTGACCGGCTTCGTGGGAGAGACCGTCATCCTCCCGGCCAGTCACGGGCAGAACTACACCGTCTTCGCCGAGACCTGGAACAAGATGATCGGGGGGGTCCACGGGGTCAGGCAGGCCGTGTTCATGTTCTCTCCCGTCACCAACACCACCATGTCCCTGGGACCGCTCAAGGGACGAGCCGAGCTGGGGACCAGGGGGTCACTGAAGGTCACCGACGTCAGACGGGAGGACGAGGGGCTGTACGTCCTGACCAGTCTGCTCGATGTGATTGGTCAAGAGGAATACTACGTCATCTTGAGAGTACTGTGTAAGTAACCATTCTGTATTTGATTGGATAAGACGCGTGTACTCAACGGTGGTAACATTAGCGACGTGGCTAAGAGAAGCACTACGTCAACGGGAGGACTTTGTAAGTGACCTTTAATTTGGTAAGGCACAAGTGTACTCAACAGTGGCAAACATTAGTGACTGGGCTAAGAGAAGTACTGCGTCATTTTGAATATATCCTGTGACTACTTCAACATTGATTTGGTAAGACATACGTACACGGCAATGGCAAACATTAGAGACATGGCTGAGTGTCTGGATGGCACTACAAGTGACTACTGCAACATGATTTGGTAAGACACTTGCTCAACAGTGGCAAACATTAGTGACTGGGCTAAGAGAAGTATTACGTAATTTTGAAGATACTCTGTAAATGACTACTTCAACATTAATTTGTTAAGACACATGTACTCATCAGTGGCAAACACTAGTTAGGTGGCCAAGAAGAGTATTGCGGCATCTTAAGGATACTGTGTAAGTAACTACTAGTACTGTGATTGACTGGGTAAGACAGTTGTACTCAACAGTAGTAAATACTAGTGACGTGGCTAAGAGGAGTAGTGCGTCATCTTGAGGACACTTTTTAAGTGACCACTAAGATATTGATTGGGTAAGACAGATGTACTCAACAGTAGTAAACATTAGTAACGTGGCTGAGAGGAGTAATGCGTCATCATGAGGATACTGTGTAAGTGACCACTGAGATGTTGATTGGGTAAGACAGCTGTACTCGACAATGGTAAACATTAGTGACGTGTCTAAGACCAATACTGCGTCATCTGGGGACACTGTAAGTAAAAATTTAAACCTTAATTGGGCAGTGCTTATGTGCTGTGGCATATACATGTACGATGTACGCAACAGTTGTATATTCAGGAGGGAAATCCGTGAAACCACACTCATGTGTAATTGTCATATGGCTAACGTCAAATGAACGCGTTACTTGACATAGGAACGAGTGAAGTTTCGTAGGAACAGTACTTAACTGTAATAATAAATGTTAGAAAATTTATTAATCTGATCCTATACTTTAAAGTTTGTAAGAGGTTGTCATATATTTTTAAAAGGTAGATCTACATCAGTCTATTCCATAATGGCTAGCTGATTTTAGATGATATAAAGTATAGCGGTATCATTCCCCTTAGATATTCCAGACTCAACAATCAATCAACAATACCCCTTGTGTATTACGTACAATAGATTGCGGAGAAGAACAGACAATGCCGTCCAAACAGATAGCAGACATCTAGGAATCTACAGTGCCCAGTGCTTGCATTATACGCCAGTTTGCATTGTTGTGATATGTATACCACCGTTAGTAGCTGTCAGTAGCCATGTTTTGGTGTTCATATTTTAGGTGCAGAACAACGCTCACAAAATGTATAACAGCTTGGATGAACTAGCTGAACAAACGTATCCCTCCAGGTGTTACACGCCGATTAGGTGTCCAGTTCCGACCGTCCCTCACACTAAAATGGCTATACAGCATACTAGTCTGATTTAAAGCCTAATATAGCCGTGTTAACTGCATACGAGAAGAGGCCAAACGACGCCGTTAACTTGTTATTACCCGTGGGATACCATACAGACCCGTAGCTATTTTGTGTTTCACGTCAGAGCCGGTACTATCTCCTTCCTGCAGTTTGGTGAAAAGGTCTTTGTTTCAATGGAAAGACGCATATGCCGCTGCATAGATAGGTTTTCCCACATGTGTAAGGTGTGAATCATGAATGTACAAAAAGAAGCGGTGTTAGCGGGAATTTCGCATGCTGAATAGCCCTGTCTTAGGTCCTGACTGAAGGAAAATAATTATGCTTTTACGAGGCAATGGCATTTTCTGGTCGTTCGAGGAAACCGGACACTCAGTGGCTTTGATGTTCTACTCAGTCTGCATGGAGTCTTGTCGCCATCATGCACAATTTGGCCTTCAGTCAATCACACCATACGTCAGAGGCTGAAGAGTAGTGAAAATAGGACTTTGATTGACATGAAGGTCAAGTGGTACCAACGAGTCTTTTTTTCCAACCAGAAACTGCCAAATAAGTCATGACTATGATACAGTGCCATGTCAGCACTATTTTTATCATCTAGTAGTTTTTCAATGCTTCCGAAAGTAACTGTAAAAGTTTTGTTTTATTCTCACAGCAAGACCAGGTGTAAAGATTGACTCCAAGAAGACAGTGGTGGCAGTGGAGGGGTCCAACGTCGTGTTAAACTGCTCAGTCAACGACAGCAGCACACTCATTCATCCGCCATCTTGGAAACAAGATGGCCACAAGGTGCGAGGCAGTCACGTGGTGACTGGGAACGTGATTCGGGGCAAAGGTTACGTGTCCCGTCTCGTTCTCTACGCCGTGAAGAGGAACCAGGGAGGAAACTACACCTGCCAGGCCTTACACCGGCACGGAAGGGAGTCAGATTTCGTTCAACTGGAAATAAATTGTAAGTCCTTAACATTTACCTCAGTTTTCCAATGCAGACTACGATGTCAAACAAAATAAGTAACTTTAAGCCGGAAAATTTCACACTGATAAAGTGGTCAGTATTGAATCAATAGCTTTTATATTACCTTAATGAAATGATTTAAGTTGAGTGACATGCGAAAATTGACTTCGATAGTATTAAGCTCTACAAGCAAGATTGACACAAATTGTGTCAAGTAGAATATGTAGTACATTGATAGCAAATAGCCAATTACGGGCCGAAAACGACAGAGGCGTAAGATACGTTTCCCGAAGGAATGAGACATTAGTACACTCAGGAGCACCTCAACACACGATTCCAGTTACCGATCAATTTGAAAACGGGCCAAAACGTCTAATCGACATTCATTGACAAATTGGTTGCTCACCCTGGTTTGTCTGTAAAAGGAAAAGCCAATCGTCGCACGTATGTCATTTGTGGCAAAAGGTCGCGCGGCGGCGATCCTTCAATTCCCCCGGCTTCAAACAGGGTCGATGGAGGTCTCATTAGACCGTACCTCACACAAAGTGGTGGCTGAGTGAACGAACAATAGCGGAGTTCACGAACTCTATTCGCAGGCAGTGGAGGAAGGAGATCGAGTCTGTTGTAATCCTCGTGTTATTAAAAACTCAGGCGGGTGGTCCGCTTACCCACCGCCGTCTCAGTACCACAGCTAGAGACTTAATTGACTCGGTTCCACACAAGTAGCGCAAAATGAAGCATCTACATCTTTTCATTCTGTTATTCTGACAAATGACTAAGGATGCAGGTGGTATTCTTTAACGTTAATGCATAGACCGACAGTAGGCGACTATTTTCATCAGACCTCGTATGCTGCAGATCGAGAGGAGCAAAACTGTCTCGATGTGAAGATCTTATCTCTCTGGTTAATTGCTGTGTAAACCCAGGATACACAAATTCTACTTTGATGTATAGAAAGAGGATTACATGATGGCTATGTTATAAAACAGGTACTCTTGTAAGCAGTGGGGTGTCCTATATCTAATATACTTACATAACCAAATTTATCTATGTTGTTTTGAAAAAAAGTTTTCCCCTAATGTTCTTACAGACCCTGGAAGAGTCATAAATGTGACCAACGTCAGCACCGATAGGAACACAGTGGCTCTTCGGTGCTTGGCGGAGGGTAAGCCCGCCCCGAGCCTGGCCTGGTACCGGTCAGGGTTCCCTCAAGCCATCCGGTCTCACCAGGGAGCCGAGAAGATCGAGCAACTCGTCCTGACCATCCCCAAGTTTCATCGGAACCAGAGCGGGGAGTATTCCTGCGTTGCTGGCAACGGCATCGGCGGGCCCCACTCCACAGCCGTGTACGTATCGTTCGTCCCCCGCCAACAGATGAGGAAACCAACGCCCGGAAAAAACAGACAAGGTATTGACTCGACAGCAAGATGCATAGCCAGCAAAGCCTGGATATAGGCATAACGCACCGTTCTAAATAATTGTTATTGAGCTGCCAGAAGCAATTTCAGCATGTTATATATGCTGACTGTACACGAACATACGGAATATTGATGTTATAAATCCTTCTGCCAAATACTCTCTTCCGTAGGTAAGCTTCGCCCTTGTCACAAGAGAAGATATCAGATATCATATCAATCATCCCAAAGCATGAACCATAAAATATCCGCGTGGAAACATAAAAATAGCCGCGAATTAGATCTGAGACTGAGAGTGCTTTTGCTCCCATTTCTTTCTCATGGAAACTAGCAGCTGCGTACTTTTTATTCCCTACTCGTACTCAAGATCTTATCGAGCGCACCGGAGCGGACGTTAGAAGTTTTTATGACCCTCCCAAACGGACAGTATTTCATCTCAAACTTGTCAACCTGTCAGTGGTGCCCATTATATCAATCCCTTGACGCGAGTGTTAAAAAAGCGCTCGTGGTCACCACTTCCAGAACGCATTTAAAAAGATGTTTTTTTTCCACGCAACCTTGTCAGCATGTCACGGATCCTCTTATTGATGCACAGAAGAAACCGACTATGTATCACAGGCTTTATCTAAGTCTTCATTCGACGTTTTGAATGCCAGTACTTCACCAGTCAACTGACGTACACAGAAATTATATCTTTGAAGGATATCTTCCTTGTCATCACCAGTTGTCTTTGTTTTACCGTTTTCTCGGCATTATCTACGTCTTACAGGTTGACGGTTTACGATACCACGAAGCTGAAGATATAGAGATGTTATCAGAAGGAAAATGAAGTTGCCACCAGTTTCACGAAGCAGCGACCAGAATCACTAAGATTCTTACGAAACTTTGGAAGCAATGCCAACGTTTTAAAACTGAATTTACGCCTCTCCTGATTCCTTCAACCTGATTACACATTACTGAGTACTTCTTCATTAACGTAATTGATCTGTGCTGCGGAAAAGTGATATCTTTATGGAAAATGATTAACGCTCGCTGAATATTAAATAGTCATATAATCATGCAAGAGCCTTTTTTCGGACTCTTGTGCAATTGTACAGCACTTTTAAATATTGTTTAAATAACTTTGATTAACTATGGCGCAACTAACTTAAATCTGGTAAGAAATCCAATTGTGAATAATTATATTGAGTCAACTTAATAAGGATAAATGTTAAGTCAATTCTGTAGAACAGTACTCAACGGTGACATATATATTTCACTAATTGGCGTCCAATGCACAAGAAAATTGCAACTGGATAGATTTTGAAAACTTCCAGATGTTCAAAATGCATCCCCTACATTTCATCAGTGTTATCAGAAGCAAAATGAAGGTAAAGTACAGATCTGTAGTTTAAAAGTTAATTAGCATTACCTTGACTTAATTTTTGTTTCCGATGAACTTCCTACAATTGCCTTCACTTCATTCTAATATCAATTCCTAGTTGTTGGATCTGTACTGTTCAACTGTACAGATTCCAATATAGTAACTTTTAACTTTTCTACCATCAACTGTTGAACTTTGGAACAATCTTTCAAAGGAAATTGCTATGATCAGGGACAGGACAGAGATTTGAATGTGAAGTTAGTTCTTTCCTCAGCGCAAAACTCTGACAGCGTTCTGTCCAGGTAGTCTGGCTGCTAATGCTGAGGGAGAGCTGACATAGACAAAAAACAACCAACGTAGATAGACGACCATGGTATCACTTCAAGTGTACGTGTGTCCGCAGGCTCTGTGCTTGTCTGGGAAAACCAGCTCCTCCGTGTCATCGTGTTCTCCGGCATCGCGGCCTCCTCCGCCTGCCTGCTGCTGGTGATACTGCTGACCGCCCTGGTGCTCTATCGGGGCCGGCAGAGGACTCGAGCAGAGCGGGACAACACTGATCCTCAGGCGGCTTCTGAAGCGCCCAAGATGCCGACAGAGACAAATCCCGACGACTGCAAGAGACCGGATGTTTGGCACACCCCGAGCATTAAGTCCATCCCTGCAACCATGTGTAGGTCGCATAAAGCAGCCAACTTAAGTAAGTCCTACGTTTTGTTTCGCCCGAAGCCGAATGTGGCGCCTCATGCTCGCTGTTTATCAGAGACTCTTTGACATAGCAGATTCCAGCCACTGGCGAACATGAACTTGTATTTAAAGGATAAATGCCTTGCATTGAAACTTGATAAAACTTTGAGATGTATCATGAAAAAAATGAATAGACAGGGTTCTCGATGAGAGTTAATTTTAAAATGTAAGGGATGATTATGTGCTTTCATATTATGGTGGCACTGGGTTTCACTGAGAAAACACATAAAATGCTGGGCACTTATCTCTCCGAGCCATCAAAAGCTTCACCCACTTCTATAGCTTCATTCTTCATAACGTAACAAAATATTGTAAAGTAAGGTCATATTGCACGGTAAGTACAAAGGTTAGGGTGACATTTGAGAGGCCAGTATCCATGCGTGAAATTGTTTTCCACGTTTACCTATCTCGGCAACTGTTCTACAAAATTACTGGTGGCAATACTTTTAGAATATATAGTATACCTTTTATGGCAATGAACAGATATGAAAAGGGACACAGCTAGGCGGGCAAAGTTGCAGTTACATGCTCTGATAGGTATGAGCTATATGTGTGATGGGATGATAGCCACTAGTGCCATTTGTATGTGTTGTGTGTGTGCGTGTGTGTGTGTGTGTGTGTGTGTGTGTGTGTGTGTGTGTGTGTGTGTGTGTGGATAGATGGAGGGAGAGAGAGAGATGGAGAGAGAGAGAGAGAGAGAGAGACAGAGAGAGAAAGGGAAAGATTGCAGAGCTGCTCCTCTGTGTGTTTAATGACG